TACCGAGGGTGACATAGTAAAGCTCTGTCTCAGAAGAAAAAAAGAAGTAACATCTATTCTAAAGTAGATTTCTTTGATTACAAAATAAGAATATTTAGGTGGCATCCATAGTTCAGTGAGTAGGATGCTGGCCACATACAACGAGGCTGGCAAGTTCAAGCCTGGCCCAGGTCTGCTAAACAATAATGACAGCTGCAACCAAAAAATAGCCAGGCTATTTGTTGTGGTGGGCACCTGTAGTCCCAGTTACTCGGAGGCTAAGGCAAGAGAATTGCTTAAGCCCAAGAGTTTGAGGTTGCTGTGAGCTGTGATGCCATGGCACTCTACCGAGGGTGACATAGTGAGACTCTGTCTCAACAACAAAAAAAAAGATAAAAAATTTTGTTAACCTGGGTGGTGCCTGTGGCTTAGAGGAGTAAGGCGCCAGCCCCATAGGCCAGAGGTGGCGGGTGCAAACCCAGCCCCAGCCAAAAACTGCAAAAAAAAATTTGTTAGCCATTTGTGCTTCCAACAGACAGTATCCATGATGTGATCCAACTGAGAAAATAATGTGATTCTGTCCTTAAAGAGCTTTCTGCAGATTGGAAGATAATTATAGAAAGAATAAATATATATATAAGGGAAGATAATCATACAAAGAATAAATATATAAGGCAAAGTAAAATAACTGGTGCAAGAGTGGCGTAAGCCTGATGTGATGGAAATGCAGAGGACAATGCAAGCAGTTCCATTCTGGGGAATAGGAAAGGCCATCAGGGAGGTAGGTTTGTGCTGGAAAGTGAAGAAAAGTAGGACTTGGTTTGGAAAAACTGACATTAAATACTTAAGAAATTTATAGTATCAATTTAAATGGCTACATAGTATTCCATTGTCTGTGTATCATGCTGTATTTTTACATTGGTAGCTTGATGATCCTGAATGTTTCTACTCAGGAAACATTACTTACCATTATTTCCTTTTTTCTGTACTGCCATTGTGTCTGTCAGACGTGTTTGAAAATCGCCTACAACTAGCGTATTTCTGGTAACATTTATTCTTTGGAATCAGAGTTATTTTTTGATATTTTCTAATTGGCTATTGTTCACATATATGAAAATATTTTTTGTTATGTTAATTTTATAGCCAGAAATCTT